AACATTTTATTATCTCTGTGAGATTTCCCTCAATAATTGCATATTATACATACAGAATTAGTCATTATCTTTTTTCACGTACTATGAATTGTTAATATTTGCAAGCCAATGAATACACAACAAAACCTAACTTTTAAGAAGATAGTCTTTAATATGCATGTTCCTTATAAATATGTATTTTACCTGTCTCCTACTATTGGAAATCTTGGATGTTTTCAATATTTACCTACTACAAACTAACACTACACAGAAAACTCTTTGCTCACATAATTATTTCCACAGATAAATTCTTTAAATGGGAATTACTGGATCACAACTCACCTGCAATGTTCATCTCTGCTATCGTGTACCAAGCTGTCCTGGTAAACAAAAGCACAGTGTGCTATTACCTATTTTCTCAAAGTTTTACTATGAAATAGAAAGAAGACTCATAGAAGAGAACGGACTGACAGGTTTCAGAGGAAAGGGACTTAGGGGGCTGGGTAAAAAAGTTGAAGGGACTAAGCAAAACAAATAAATACATCAAAGCCACAGACACAGACAACAGTATGGTGATTACCAGAGGGAGGAGTAGGGGGAGGTAGAAGAGGGTAAAGGGGCAATAAATGGTGATGGAAGGACACGTGACTCAGCGTGGTGAAGATACATTATAATAAAAAGATGATGTACTGCAGAATTGTACAGCTGAAACCTATGTAATTTTATTTTTCTTTAAATTTTATGTATTTATTTTTACACAGAGGGGAAGGGAGGGAGAAAGAGAGGGAGAGAAACATCAATGCATGGTTCCCTCTCGTATGGTCCCTACTGGGGACCTAACCCACAACCCTGGCATGTGTCCAGACTGGGAATTGAACCAGTGACCCTTTGGTTCTCAGGCCAGCACTCAATCCACTTAGTCACATCAGCCAGGGCTGAAACCTACACAATTTTATTAATCAATCGTATCTTCTTTTTATTCTAATATATACTATTATATTTGTCCTGAGAATTTGGGGGATTATTTTTAAAGTGTCAGAGAATGTTTACAAACACACTTAAATGTTGTTTTCTGATCATGCTTGGTTTCTTTTACTTTAAACTCTTAAAACACTTTGGGAAACAAACTAAGTTGTTAAAATACTTCACTCAGAGGAGACTTCTAGTTAGAAACTGGGGACTTGATAAACATTACTGACAGGTGACTGGACTGGCAGTCTTCTTCCTCAGAAAGGTCCCTTTTCCAGTTCCCCACTGTAAACAAATCACCAGGTGGCCTTACAGAGCTGATTTGCTGCTGGAGCTGGCGCTGACTGTCTCTGTGTTTTTAAGGGACAACTTCTTATATTAACAAGGAACAATATGCACTGTAAGTGAAGAACCAAAGTTGCATAATTCGTCTACTGTGGCCCCCAAATCGCCACACTCACAGCTTTCAGTCATCCCTTCCTCATGACTAGAGAAAAAATTTTGCATCTGATTTGGAAAATGAACAGGAATTCCTCTAAAAAGTTCTAAGGTAGATAAATCAATCAACATACTTTATATTGAGTCATTTCAAATTTATATCTAAATACTCAGGCATGTTCTATTTTTAAAAAACTGGCCAGCCTAAAGCAGACTTTCTCAGTCACTCTATGTCTGATTTTGACAGCTAAAATGGAGTTTTTAAATCCAACACTATACACAAGTCGTAAGTTTGAGGCTTTGTCTAAAGAAAGATGTCTACATTCATCATGTTTCATGAAAGCATCAAAACCTATTTCTCTGGGACCTGCCCATGCTCCAGAGTCAGAGACCAGACAGGTCCTGGGACACTTCCTGAGAGGCCAGATCTCAGAAGGTTACAGCTGACCTCACCAAGGAACACAAGTCCACAGACAGACTGACACATGGACCCAGGTGACATGCCATGAGAAAGAGGCTCTTTAAACCAGGCAAACAAGATTGAGAGAGCTTCAATGGAAACGTCTACAAATTCACGTAGTCCTGACACGCATACAGAACTTCATTTTCCACACTCCCAAAACTTCAAGGCTGCTAATTAAGAATACAAAGCCATGATATGGAGTAATTAAGCTCCTTACTCCTGGTTCAACTATTCAAAACAAAACATAAATAGACTTGTGATCTGGTAATACATTTATGTATATGATACACTAGAGTAATGCCAAGCTCTCTTACTAGACTCTAAACCCACCTAAATGTAGATAAAAATTTCATACACAGATGACCACTGAATAATGAAGTGGTTAGGAGAACCCACCTATATGCAGGGGCTAGGGGAATTGATCCCCCATGCATTCAGAGATATGTGACTTCCTAAAATCTTAATTCTTAACAGCCTAACGTTGACACAAAAGCTCACCCATTAGACAGTCAAATAATACCCACAAGGATAAACAAACCAACAAAAAAACAAACCTGAAATTATCATCTAGCGGGTGGGTCCATGGTAGCACAGGCTCCCCCACTAGGTGAGACTTTCAGGAACTCATCTGTATCAGGGTACCAGCTGGCATGGTTGTGAGAGATTGCATTCAGCTGCTGTGAATTGTTTTGGAGACTATTTCCACACATTTGCCAATTGCATAATGAGTGACTTACAAGTGAACCTGCCCACACCACACTGACTGTTCAGCTGTTTCTGAGCTGCCCTCCATAGTCACCCAAACTTGCTCCAAGTGAGCTTTTCTTTCTTTCCCTGGATAAAAAAGTCCTCAGAGGGAAACATTTTGCTTCTCATGAAAACAAAGAGGCAGAGAAGCACTAAAAGGAATCAGAATCAATGAGTTCCAAATTTTGAGGAGGAAAAAAATGTCTCCATAAGCGTACTGTATCATATAGAGAGTACTTTGAAGGTTATGATGTTAAAACAATTAGGATAAATACACAATATTTTAGAAATAAATTTCAGATTTTGGGGGTCTCTTTTATATTTCTTATATGTACTATACACTGTACTCTTACAATAACATAAGCAATAGACAAATCTTAAAAAAATCATGAGAAAGACAAAATACATTTACAGTATTTATGAAAATAATCTGCTTAAAAGTGAACCCATTCAGTTCCAGTCCACATTGTTCAAGGTCAGCTGTATGTACTCATCACTGTCTCACCCATGTCTAGCTCAGTGTGGGGAACAATGTAAATGCTGAGTGAAAGGTGATAATCATGGTACCAACAGCCTATCGGATGGTCAAGCCAAAGCACATTCAAGTCCAGGACACTCATGACCCAGAATCTCCCTGACTACGTCTTCAACACAAATGATCATATATGGTCACCATAGCATGTACATAATTACATCCATGGACGAATTCTGTGTTACAGCCAGAATTGGAGACACCAGACATGTACCACCAGAAGTATCATCCATGAATTGTGCTAGATTTGTAGAATGTAATGTTAGAAACAATTAAGTTAATGAAATAGAGCTACAGGTATAGCAACCCAATGAATAGTATTGAGTCCAAAAAAAAGAGTAAAAAAGAAGGCACATACAGATATAACTTTTTGCAATTCTGAGTTGATTTACCCACCTACTTTTAAATATTATTTCTTTGGAGAACAGAGACTGCTAGGAAAGACTCTATGACTCATTTATTTGACTCATTAGTTGAAATCTTGGCATTTTGCCTCACTTAAGGGGCTACACTGTGTAATGTTCCTGCTTTTCTCCTGGATAAGAGCAAATTTCATTTACATTGTCTTATTTTTAAGTCAAACTCCTTAATATTTAAAAATGATAAATGGATCTAGGCTATGATGTTAATAATTACAATTTATTGATCTTTTGTTAAAACTCGTAGATTCTGCTAAACATTTATTGCACAGTATTTCCTCTCTACAAACCTGTGAACTTACTTAACGAATTTATTTTACATACAATAAATGTAAATTCTAAACAATTTAAGTACCATGTATAAGTTTGCACATCTAGGAACTAGCAGAACTTGGTAAAATTTTCTGCTTTACTGAAATTAAAAATCATTGATTTTTAACCATTTTCTGTTTTACGGTAATGTTTATTTATACAGCAGAACTTACAAAATGGAGGCTTTCTAAGAAAGAAATCGATATTTTCTCCTCTTTAAAAACTCTTCAGACACACACGCACAAACACTATTTTTAAAGTAAATATTTCCCTAAGATGCTATTTAAGTATTCGGGTTTAATTTAGTGTATAATTTGAGGACAGTTTTGAAAAAAGTCTCTTTATACATGCTTTCCCACCACCTCTTAAACTGTGTTCTATCACTTCATAAATGTACTGGAGTTTCATGTTTGACTAAAATGGTTATTTACTCATCTCATATCTCTTACTTTAAAGAACATATTATTACTGATCATTTATAGCCTCAGATCACTGGTCAAACAGTCCTGACAGCAAATACACAGTCTTCTCTTATTGGGAAGAATGTTCTAACTTTTGGTCATTTTCCATAGACTACAAGTAACCAAACCAATGAAAGAAAATGTTAATTCTGCCAAGGACTCTCAGCTACATCCATTCTGCCTTCTTCCTCTCGTCCCCACCATCCCGGATCTCCACCTACACTGCAAAGGCAGAGAAACACAGCAGCAGAGAAACTTCCGTGTGTCTGTGTGTTTCACCTGACATCCTTCAGGGTTCTCTCCTTGTCAGTTCCATCAGAGTTACACCTTATTCCTCTTTCCCTTGAAGTCCTAGCTCCTGCTCTTCCTAATTTATGTTGCTGATGCCACAGAAAACATCACTGTCATAGACATACTCAGGAAAACCACTAAATATTTTAAATGTAGAACAATTTTTAAGGTGACAGATGTTAAATTTTAAATATTTCAATAATTACTATATAATCAGTCTCAACTGCTATATTTTACATATTCTGTCAATACCTTAGTTTATTCAATCTAATTTTGTGTACAAATCCTGATTACAGAATATATAAACTTATTTCATCTTATTCAGAATATCTCTCATGACCATATTACAAGTGCATGCACCAAGCAGAGAGCTGGAAGAGGGGCTCATTTCCTTGTGCAGCATCCTTGTAGGGAGCGACCAAAATGGGCTTTCTCCAGAGATAGTGACGGGAGAAGTTCAAGAACATGTACAGGTTGCCCTACGCCCAGAGCATTTATAAGTATTTTGTGTATCAGGTGAGGTGACTTCTTGGGTCCCTGTTAGTTCAGTTACTTTTTGACTCTGAGGCTCTCAGGAAGGTCTCTCCTTTTCCAGCCTCCTTCTCAGAGCAGCATTGACTTCTCTGTTCCTCAGACTGTAGATCAGGGGATTCAGCATGGGATTGAAAATGCTGTGAAACAGGAGGACGTATTTCTTCTTCTCCTGGGGGTCCCCATGTTGGGGTACAACATACATAATAATGGCTGTGCCATAAAAGAGCCCCACCACACAGAGGTGAGAGGAGCAGGTGGAGAAAGCTTTCTGGCGCCCCTCTGCTGACTGGATCTTCAGGGCTGTCCTCAGAATATAACTGTAGGAGACCACAATTGCGGACAGTGGTCCGACCAGCACAAATGCTGCCCCAGCCAAAACCACAACCTTGTTAAGGTGGGTGTCTGCACAGGCAAGTTTAAGAACAGCTAGAATCTCACAGAAAAAGTGATTCACTTTCTGGGGCCCACAGAAGGGCAATGGTAAGAGGAACACCAGTTGTACTAGGGACAGGAGGACTGCTGAAATCCAGGAAATCACTGCCAGGGTGAGGCAGACTCTCCAGCTCATGATGGCAGAATACCGAAGGGGCAGGCAGATGGCCACATACCTGTCGTAGGACATCACCACAAGCAAGATACATTCAGTGTGAGCAAAAATCAAGAAGAGAAAGGTCTGTGTCAGGCAGCCAGCAAAGGAGATGGGCTGGGCTGGGCTCAGGAGGTTGACCAGCATCTGGGGCACCGTGTTGCAGGCATAGGCTATGTCCACAGTGGCCAGGTGGGAGAGGAAGAAGTACATGGGGGTGTGCAGTCGGGGGTCCAGTGAGATGAGCCCCAGGATGACCCCGTTGACCAGCAGAGTGAAGGCATAGAACACAGAGAAGATCCCAAACAGTAGCACCCGCATCCTTGGGCTGACTGGGAATCCCACTAGGAGGAACTCTGTGACAGAGGTCTGGTTGCCCCCCATTGTCCTAAGGAAGAGACAAGGGAGAGAGCTCATCAGGTCTGAGTGCCCGAGGGACATGTTTAACATGGTAGACCTGTGTGTGTCATGTATGTCATTCTTTCTTCCCTCAGAAAACATCCTCAGTGACACTTCTATCCTGTTCATCAGTTACTATGTGAATACTATGCACTGCAAATTACACATACATTTTTTCACCCTGATCAATCAAATTCTCATGTTGTATTATAGTGTTCAGTAAATCTTTCCTTTATTTCCAAAGTTCCACCACAGTTTTAAATGAGTTAACATGCCTATTAACTCCGTAACAGTGGACACTTTCCTCAGTCCGTGACACTTTCAGTGGCTTGCCTGGTAGGAGTCCCGACCCCCTGTTCATACACGGACGCTGTGTGGAGGGGGCTGTGGGCCTGGTCCTGCATCCCCACATGAGGGTGGGAAGCAGGATGAGAAACCTGTGGGAGATCCTCCTGCCAGGGAATCTCACAGATTTGTGCCTTCACTAGATGACTTATGTGTTAGCCTTGTGATTTTTACTGGCAGCATCATCTTGAATTAAGTTGAAAGCATGGTAGGCAGACTGCGACCACTTAGCTGGATTTAACAAAGAGAACTTTCCCCTTTGACTTTTCTACCAACAGACATTCTACTCTGATCATGCTGTTTCTTGATCATATATCATCCATCACACACTTATCTCTATATATATAATTATATTCCATGCTTGTATGTGTTTGGATAATATTATGTTTTATATATAGTCCATACACACATACATGCACACACATGTGTTTGAATTCTTATTATGTGGAAGACTAGTTGCTATTTCTACCATACTTCACTAGTAAAATGCTGGTTGAATGCTTTCTTGATGGGTCATGGTCTGGGATTTAAACTACTGATCAATATCCAAGGCTAGAGACTAAGCTCTAACTATATCCTCATATCCTTAGATCTTTTAACATATTTTACAGCTCAACTCTAACATGAAAACACCACTAATCACGAATCCTTACTTTCTGTGATTTATCAATATTTAGAAAAGAACTTGTCCCAGGGTGGGAATTCCGAGGTTTCACTTGTAACTATTAAACCACTGCTTCTGTTTCCTTGTCTGTCTGACTTTATATCCTTCTTCAATCCAGCATCCATTTGAGTTTCAGTATAATAAGAATCTGACAAAACTCATGATTCCAGTCCTATATCAATTTTCCACTCAAATTTCCTAAGTTAATATTTGCAAGGTGATAGAAGCAAAAGTGTGAAGGTTTCACCCTGTTTTGAAAAAAAAATCAGAATTCAAAGCAGAAACACTGGCAGATGATTTTATCCTAGTCCAAAAAATAACATCATAACAGTTGGAATCACCTTCATGAAGAAAGCTGGTTGTTTTAGTAGGACCGAGCTTTAAGTCAGTGAGTGCTTTAACTCAGAGGTTTGGATTCCCATGTTATGGGAGAAGGTCAGCAAGAAAACTTCTCAGGTCTCTTCCAACTATAGGATTCACTGGCCCTAACTGTATAGAAAAGTGTTAGCCCTTTTTCTTTCAGGTTTGTTGCCTCATTTAGGGTGAAAGAAGACAGCAGTGCTATCTCTAAAATGTCCTAGGATGAAGGACACAATAAATTAAAGCAGAAGGACCACTGACTGTCATCTCATCTTCCTCCTCTCTGCTGCAAGTAGCTAAAACAAAACAAAAATACACAGATATTCACTGAACATAACATTCATCCACATATCTTGGCTGAGGATATAAAGGCAACTCCTATTTGCTAGTGTATAGAAATTCCTTGGACAAAATGTCACTAAAGACAATGAAACTGAGAAGAGGCTGACAGTGACCAGAGGGGAGAGTGGAGGGAATTTCAGGGGAAAAGGGTGAAGGGGTTGCAGGAACAGTTATAAAGGACACCTGGACAACAAGAGGGCAGGGAGCAGGTGGATGGAAAACAGGAGAAAGCTGGGGTGACCTGGAGTGTCCAGCTGGGGGTGCGGAAAAAAGCAAAATACTGTACTTCAATAGCAATAAAAAATAATAAAAGAAAAAAAAGAAATTTCTTGGAGTGACAAGTCTGTTAAAAGGACTCAAGACATGAAAATTCTCCTATTCAAATAACTCACAAAATACAAGTTTGCTTTAAAAAATAAAGCCTTCAGGACACTCTTTTGTAATAAAACCCTTTTGTGGTCAGTTAGGTCCATTATTTCATGGAAACATGACTGAATTACACAGGACAATGGAAACAGTTGAAAACAAGTCTCTCACACAGCTGACGTACCTTATTATTTAAACAAGGAATTTGACACTAAATGTACCAAAGTAAATGATCCACATTAGGTCTCTCTAAACAAACTGATGACTTAAATGATCCTATTTGATAAATCTATACATAGCAAAAGCCTGACATTGATAGACAATAACTATTCTATTCTGCACTGTGATTCTTCATCACAGCCTTTCTGGAATTGAATAGTGAACAAAGACTGGACAACATGCGAAACTTACCACAGACTTAGAGCTAAAATCGAGAAGACCAGCTGAATGTGACTGGGGTTAAGCAAAAACACACTAATATAGAGAAAAGTATCTGTGAGTTAATGTTGAAATTGCCATCTCATAAGAATCTCTTACGAGAAAAGGTACCTGAACAAGAAAAGATGATTTATTCTCTGCTCCACTCCACCACCTCTCAATATACTTCTCAGTTTTTGTGTAGGGAGGGATAGAGACCCACCAGGGACACTGCCATCAGCCCCCTTCCAGGGGAAAGGGGCTCTCAAGGAACTAATCTCTGGTGTTCTCCACAGGGACACTTGTGGCAAGACAGTGGCATTAGTGACTCCTTCACTCACTGTGGGGTCCATGTTCATCCATTTAGAAACTCTAGAATGACTTCTGGGACTCCTTCGCACATTACAGTGACCACACCTTGCATTCACTATGGCTTGAGAACTCAATTTCCCCATCTACAAACCTTCCAAATAGAGTAGGTGGTACACAGGGCAGCTGGGGCCCAGAGGTTTTTCCCAACCTCTAGTCTTGACTGAATTTTATCTCACACCTCACCAGAACATGTGTCCTCTGTTTCTCTCTTTGAATCAGATGGGAATCCAACAGGTTACAGAAACCTTGCTGGTGTTGTATGATAGTAGAGAGACTTTCACACAACACAAGTATATCGGGGAACTCCAACAGAAAAAGCAGTTTTGGATAAACAGCAGAACTGTGTGAAGCTACCATCCCTAAGAGGTTCAAGAGCACGGAGCAGAGGCGGGGTGATTAGAACCCAGGTAAAAAAACGTTGGGGTTCAGACTTAACCCTGTGAGGAGAAGGGGCTCCTCGGCTGCTTTGTGTCCCCAGTAGGGAATGACATGGCTGGTTCTGGGATGCTGAGTAACTGAGCCTGGACAGGGGGGTTTCGCTGCCACTCCCAAGAGCTGTTGAGGCAACAAGGATGGCAAGAAAGGCAGGCAGACAGGAAAGAGCAAGGTTTATTCCCCTGCTCCAGGCTCCCAGTTTGCTTTAGAGCTCCCTACCTACACAATGTGATATTGGAAGCCACTAAAATCAATAATCCACCCAGGCTGGTGAGGCTCTGTAGGTTGAAGGACTGTCCCATAAACAGGTAGTTCATGGGTTCAGTGACTGGTCAGAGCCCATATTGTATTCAGGTTGCAGGTTTGTCCCAGTCGACACACATAAGAGAGGCAACCAATAGATGTTACGTTTATGTTTCTCTGTCTCCCTCCCTCCCCTCCCCTCTCTCTCTAAAAAACATCAATAACCTTGTCCTCGGGTGAGGACAAAAGATGAAAAATCAATAGTCAATATGTCCCAGTTTAGTTAAGAAAAGTTGTAAACTGTATACCAGATACAGGGGTCCCAAGTTTGTCAATAAAGAACATCCACATCACTCATACTGAGACTTCATTAAGGGACAGACACAAGAAGTACTTAAGAACACTAACTGGAAGATGAGGTTCAGATGTGATGCTCTAAGAGTTTTGCTGATTTCTTACCTTGAAGGGAATGTGCTAGCTACTCACAGGCAGCACTGTGAGCCACAGGCCTTCCTTCTGAGGTCCAGTCTGTGTCACAATGACAGCACAGACCCAGAGGAGAATGTGTGGTGCTCCCGAATGGTGGACGACCAGAGGGAAAGAGGGCTCGACAGTGACAGCAACTCAGTAAAACTCGGAGGTTTGCTACTTTCTGATACATGCACTTATAAAATAGACTGATAATGGGATGTTCTTCCTAGACTGGTTAGGATGGCTGGATCAGACTTTACGTGTTGAGTGCTATCCATGTGCAGTGCACAGCACTGGGTGAGGGATGGACAAATACGGTAGCTGTTCTGATAAGAGCCCATCTGATATTCCTATTCAGTGAGCTCTGCTGCCCACAGGAACTAAGAGTTGGGTGGCTTTTTCAAATGATTTTTTTATACTATAGTATTTAAAATTAAGACAGAGATGAAATTCAAGATTTTCCTTACATTTATGAACTTTGGTTGGTGAATTTTATTTCTATTTTCTCAATTTCCAAGTATATCTTGATTTAAATATAGTTGGTGTACAGGCTGGTTTAGTTAAATTATTTCAGATGTAGACACAGTGAGCTGACATCTCCAAACCTTCCTAGAGCAAGAAACATAAGTTTTACAAGTTATAAACGGTCATCATCTTACCACCCTACAACCAATACCATACCACTATATATCACAAATTTTGCTATTTACTATGTATACGTACCATAATTGCAGTTACATAACATTTGCAATTATTGGTTCACATTTTCCATTAACTCTTATAATAAATCTTTCCTACGCATCTGTAAAAACTACAGTAATCATTTTAATGAGTACAAAAAGCTCATTAAGTTAAAGTGGAATAATCAATCACTTTACCATTTTGTTAAATGTGACTTTATAACTTTGATGTTAAAGATCATTTTAGTGGGGAAAAAGAGAGTTACACTGAGTAATCATTACTCCCCAAG